GAGTTAAAACCTCACTTCTTCGGATGCAACTGAAGAAGTGAGGTTTTAACTCACGAAAGCTTATGCCCAAATAAATCTGTTAGTCTTTAAGGTGCCACCAGACTCCTTGTTGTTTTTGTAGATACAGACTAACACGGCTACCCCGATACTTGTCTCCTAGAGATAGCAATTTATTGAGTGAAATCTGGATGCTGAATTACTCCCAAGTGTTCAGTTGTCACTGCATTAACCCCCATGCTATTACCAATCTCTTTACCTCATACGTTTTTTGAATATGTAGAGCGCTGTCCCAGGTAGTAAGAACTCCTCCTTTGCTGACACTTACAAACCAGAGTGGTGGTGGTGAAGAGATGGCCAATATCCTGGTAGTTGGCGCCAGCTGAAAAACCAAGACAAATATTGCTCCAGTGGTCAGATCTCACTGTCTTCTCCATTTCACATTATATACGTGCCTGTAATTCAGCCATCATGTTCAATGGTGGGTATAAACAAGGCGAGAATTTGACTGTACACCTTCAAAGTTATAGGGAAATGGCTCAACCCAACTGGTCCTGAAATAGGCAAATTACGACCCTGCCCCTTTAATTGATAAAGTGACCTCTCCCTAGATTTAAGTGCCTGGCCAAAATTGTTTTACTGTTATGTCAGTGGAACAAATCTGGAATTCTTTATTCGCTTTTTACTAGAAATTCAACATGAAAAGCTGCCCTGAAGACAATTCCAGCTAGACAGAAAACTCTGCCAACCGCTGTCTGCCTGTGTCCTCAAGAAAACTGCAATAAAGCTGGGGGTAAAAAAGAGTAAAGCTCAAGTTTTTAATTCCTTTTATGTTTTGTTTGTGAAGGAAAAATGCAGCTGAAGAAGAGAGGAATATTGCCAAACTATGGGCAGCACCAGAGAACGGTTACGCTGCTAACCTATCCAGTTACCATTCAGCTCCTCCACCCTCTTCACCCAATGCACCTCCCTCTCCGCTCACCTTGTTCTGCACAGAGTGTCGGATGAGGGGCTCCCTGCCAAGGAAGATCTCCTTCTTGGTTTTCATGTGGTCCCTTTCTTTGTAATAGAGCAGCAGGTATGCGCAGAACTTGTTCCAGTCAATAAGGCCATCGCAGCTGGTGTCAACCTCAAAAACCATAGCAACAAACAAGGAGGGGGAAAAGCCAATGTGACTTCACAGGTAGCGGGAGCAGGTTCCATAGTTCTTGTGATCAAATTCCACGTTGATTGTTAAAATTACTCATCGCTTGTATTACAGTAGCACCTGGAGACTACACCGGGGAACCCATTGTGCTTGGCACTGTACATACATATAATGAGACAGTCCCTGAATGTGATGAGCTCACAGTCTAAGTGGATAAGACACAGGGCGTGAATCTCCAGGTCCCTGCATGTATACAACTTGGGCAAAGTGACTGTAAAATGCTATGAAATCGGGGTACTTCACTCAGTCTGGTGGTAGCATTTTACCTCCACAAGATGCAAGGCCATGGAGAAGCAGTTAATGCTGAAGTCCCAGGTAGCCAGTGACAAGACTAGATGCCATAAGGCAAGAGTCCTAATGGGGAGAGGAGTAGTGGAGTGACATGCAAGGAAAAGTAAGAGTGTTTCAAAATGTTGTGGAGCCTGCATGCTAGAAATGCTAACTGGCTGGGATGGGAATTATTTGCACTCAGAACCCATCTAACCCCAAATCCTCCTTACCTTGTTGAAAAGCAGCTCTGATTGGTTGTTCCAGCTCTCGGAGCCAGTCAGCTCCGACAGGGCTCTATGAAACTCTTGTAGAGTCAGACTTCCTGGTGGCTGCACTTTCTGCTTTCTGCAGGGTCTCACCCACTGGTCTTCATTCTCTGCTTCCCTGCCTTGGTCTTCCCCTTCGGGAGAGCTGTGAGTAGCAAACAACGCTTCCAGGAGCTGCAAGTGACCCAGCTCCAGCTCTTCTTCCAGACGGGGGCTTGTACTCTGATCAAAGCTGGTGGAAAAGGAAAGCAAAGCAAAGCAAATGCTCATCGGGGTCAGGACAGACACTGATTGGTACGGGGGTAATATGCCGCTCAGGTCCAGGGGTGCTAATTTGCTGTGTGTTCTCTTTCAAGCGGACTGCAGAGGGGTCAGTACTTCTGAACATCAGGCTCAACGAGCTCATGTGGGACGCCCAACATTAGTGGACCCTTGAAAACGTAGACCTTAACCTCTCTGGGTGTGTCTACCCTGCACTTAAAAACCCGTGGCTGGCCTGTGACAGCTGACGCAGGGCTCGGGCTAAGGTGCTGTTTAATTGTGGTGTAGCCATTCGGGCTGGAGCTGGAGCCCAGCATCTAGGACCCTGAGAGGTGCCAGGGTCCCAGAGCCCGACCCCGAATGTCTATATTGCAGTTAAACAGCCCCTTAGCCCAAGCCCCATGAGCCCGAGTCAGCTGGTACGGGCCAGCCACGGGTGTCCAATGGCAGGGTAGACATAGCCGCTGTGGCTCGGTTTCAGCCATCTCTCAAGAATTAGAGTGTTCTGCATCACGGTGTTTTTGGGCGGCTTCGAGATCCTTGGCTGGAAGGCACCATTGTTTATTAATTATTATTATAACTATTAGCAGCAATAAATGCAAGAGTGGCACTAGAGAAAGCAGGAAGTGAAGATGAAGCGAGTGCACCAGGCTGCTTTCCCCACCCTCACAGGTGTAGTATTTCACCAGAAGATCCCTTGTGGCTTCTGCAACACATTCACTTTCCCTTCGTGTTTCTCAAAATCCCAAAGAGACATTTCCCCATCCCCTTCTCCCCCCACATGCCCATTTCCAAGGCCCTGAGTCTTCACAGCTTTCCTCCTAGCTGAGGAGGAATGGACGTGACTCTTTGCCCTGCTCCTGAACCAGCAAGGGGGCTAGTACAGAGCTACGTGGGGCACTCTCTTCCCATCCCTGGGGGCTGGATATAGGTCTTAAACTCAGAACCAGATCATCAGCTGGCACAAATCAGTGCAGCTCCACTCCGAGCTGAGGATTTGGCCCTCTGAGCCCCTAGCTAGTCATAGGCTGTTCCACTCTTTCACTTTTTTCTAAAGTATTTAATTCCCAAACCAAGTGCACTCAGATCTCAATAGCACATGATGCCATGACAACATTTGCTCTATGGCAAGCATGTGATCAGATGAAAATATCCAATGTGGGTAGCTGCATAGCTCGGAGGAAATAATAATGACTAACACATATTAATTCCATGATTACAAGTGGGAATTCACTGTCAACTAATAAGCCACCATTTTTTTTCTATTCGAGGTGTTGCTATATTGAGGTACAACCTGTTGAATTCTTATTTTATAGAGAAAAGATTTAAATAAGTACAACACCATATAACTTTATATTTGATTATATTCAGTTTCTTTTTATACGGGGGCTTTTCAGAGGAAAAGTTACAAAATATTCAAGAGCTGTCGTAAATGGGTAATATGAACAGCAGCACCAACAACTGTGGAGCCAGGGCCGGCTCCAGGCACCAGCTTAACAAGCAGGTGCTTGGGGCGGCCAAGGGAGAGGGGCGGCATGTGCGGCAATTCGGGGGCGGCAGGTCCTTCACTCCCTCTAGGAGCGAAGGACCTGCCACTGCCAATCGCGGCTTTTTTTCCCCCCCCAATTGCCGCCGTCGGTCGCAACTGAGATCGTGGCTTTTTTTTTTTTTGCTTGGGGCGGCAGAAATGCTGGATGGTGGGGGTGTGACACATCTATGACATTATTTCCTTCTCGCCAGGTACTGGATAAGCTTTCAGCGTGGCATATGTGGATGTAGCCCATGAGCTATGTTAGTTCAACTGACAACCAAGGGACTTGCACGGCTAAAACACAGGTTGAAAAATGTGTAACGTAGCATCGTGTCTTAGGGCTTGTTGTCATTGGGAAATTTGTCCAATGCATGCGAAAGTGTGAATTTACAGCACTATCTGCTCTGCACTAACCCCCCGTGTGGACACTAAAAGTGCCTTTGTGAACTTTAGTTTAATACACTTTAAAGAGTGCTCAGTAAAAGTGTCCACCCAGAAAGTTAGTGCAGAGCAGCTAGTGTGCTGTAAATTCACACCCTAGTTTACTGCACACTAACTTTCCATTTAGACAAGCCCTTACTAAATGTACAATTGTCAGAATGGAACTTACCATGTTATACTTGCTGGTACTTCTTGCTTGTATGCACACCAGGAAGAATTCTGCTTTTTCTTTTTCATCACTGACATTTCAACTTTGTCTCCCTCTTTCCTGAAACGGTGATGGTTTTTCATGGCCTTTTCCCAGTATGCCAAGCCTCATTAACGTGCGACACTGGCAGAACCAGTCAATTCAATATCTCCTTCTTCCCCCCCCCAAATAATAATAATAATCAAGATCTGAATGATCTTCAACTGGAGCAAGGTGGAAGTTCTTCTCTGAGTTCTCCTGAGGCCCTTGTTGTCCAATAATCCTTGAGAAGTTGCTTGGCACCAAAAATAAATGTTTTCAGGAAGCCATGCTGACAATCTTAGTGGTAACTGCAATACGCTATGGCTGAATCAAACACTGCTCTTCAGATGCAAGCTAAACCAATGTTTCAAGTTTTCCCTTGCCAGGATATGCCATGCCATGCAAGCAGACTAGCTAGTGCATTCTCAGACAGCTGCAATGCTTAGAGGTTCCCAATCCACGAGCAGTGAATACATTACCCAGACAGAAAACTAGAGGCTTCATTTTGAAAGGCCAATACTAGGTACATTGGGAACAGTATTCAGCATAGTTACTAGCCTGGACTTGAGTAACACGATCCATGCTGCTTATAATTATTTAGCAACAGTGCCCAAGAAATGTTTCAACGCAAAGGAATTTCACTTGGGGGGTGGGTCCATGCAAAGAAAAACATTTGGTCAATTGATGATTAACCTGATATCTGCAGTTGATATCTACAGAGAGAAGAGACAATCAGAGATTTCTTTCCTGTGCTCTGTTGGACATTAAGGTTTTGCACCACGAGCTCAATGTGTGACTATACGTATCAGGTGAACCTTTAGAAGGGGATTAATTTAGGGAATTACAAGTAGCCTGTTGTGCAACGCTAAGGCCATAATCAGGTGTGGTGGGTTGGTAACATACACTGCACAGAAACAGAAGTGAATAGCTAAAGAGACTCCTTTACCCTTGATCTCAGAAGCGGAATGCCCTTCCTCTTTCAGAAATGCGGACTGGTTATTTAATAGTGAAACGGGATAAATTTTTGCCTTGCTATTTTCATTAATACGTAATTTATTGTGCTGTCAATATTTTCTTGTCGCTATAACTACAGGTGATGCCGACGTTCCCCTCCCTATTCCATTAGATAGTTAAACTATAACAATTCCATGAAGCCTCCAGTCACGTGCAAAGCAAGAATTCTATAGAGTAAATGACCCGTTCTTTCAGAGAGTTTGAGAGAGGGTGAAATCCAGGGTGCCTGTTGCTTTTTCACAATAGTATCACTTCTCTCCTTGTTTTTAATTGCTGCTTTCAGGTCTGTGACTAGTCTTTGCCAGCCTTAAAATCAGAGTGAGACCATGATACATACATACATACATGCATATTCTCCTTCACACCTGGGTGCAGAAGTAGGTCCTCAAATTTCCTGATACAGCCCTGAGAAACATCTTATTTCCCTTGCTGTAAATCTTCTTCTTTAGAACTAGCATTACAGGCAGCAAGGGCAACGAGAGAGGACCTCTTTAACGGTCCTGTGTGTCTTCATCCACCATTTCCATACGTGTGGGACTTGTACACAGGCCTCTTAGTTATTTTAGAATCTCAGCTTTCATATTAATCATAGACATCCCCATTCACTTGGGTGGAGCTAGGAGAAGTTACATCATGCTGCGGATTTGACCCCTAGGGTGTGCTTAGATTGGATTGATAGACAATAAACTGAGCTGTGGAGACAAAATTTGGATTATCTCTATTCTAACTCTATACTCTTGATTTAGTTGGGGATTGGTCCTGCTTTGAGCAGAGGGTTGGACTAGAACCTCCTGAGGTCCCTTCCAACCCTAATATTCTATGATTCTATGATAATAGCTAATATATTTCACATACTAGCGCAGTTAGAAAGGAAACAGTGCTTGCTTCATCTTCAGCAAAGATCCCTACATCCTTTGAGAGGTGGAAGCAGGTCAGATAGCTTGTAGAGAGAATATTTTCTTGTCTCCTGTTTCACATGAAATGAAGAGCAGGTGACATTCACACCTCTGACACATGCCCACTGCTGAAGAATGCTATCTGGAACAAGCCCCATGCAATTCTGAAGTCTAACCAGCAGATGGTAGACTATGAAAAGAGATGGAGAGCAACAGATACAATCTCTTTTCACTCGGGTGAAATCCAGTGGAAAACAACCAATGACTCCAAAGAAACCTATGTCATATGCTGGAAATGTGTGCAAGACATTCCAGGAAAGAAAAAAGCCTTGTATAGCCTTTCGTAGAAATTCCGAATGATTGTGCAATGTTCTTTTAAATCAAACCAACCCAATAACTGATTTTGTTGTCAAGAGTGAAACAATGAGAACAAACAACTCCCCCCTCCACCCCATCACCCTGCAGTGCCCCCTCTCCCCTGACTTTTCTGTCTGAGAACATTTTAAGCATAGAGCATAAAACTGTCTTCTGTCTCCAGGGCCTTTCCTATGTAACTCAAGACTCCAGTGATGTCCTCTGCATGCCCCCCAAAATATTTCCCCTTTCATTCTTGTGCCCGCATTCACTGCTCCAGGATCTCATCATGACTACATCTCATTCAGAAGAATTAATTTATGGCTCATATTAAGTAATATTCATTTTTGGCCATTAGATTCATAGAGGGACCAATTTTAAGCCTAAAAGGAAACTAGATTATGTCGTGAAACTTGGTTTGTAAGGGGAGGTTTTCTATGATGAGTGATAGAAAGCTGTGTTCTGTGGGCCCACCTGATGTGCAGATCTGGCTTAATACTTTTGCT